TTTGCAAAATATTATTCAATTCATGGTCGGCAACAGTTATATCAGTCGATGATTTGGTTAAATTTCTATCATTAAATATATTTAAATTACATAATTGAGAGGGAACAGTTATTATGGGCGTACATTGCCTCCCGGCCCCCATACAAGAATCCTAACGACCCTAACCTGTAATTTGTGGACACAATGACCACATCATGTGTGGCCAAAACAGTGCCATTATATTCCTCCTCAAAACTGGATCCACCGGCCAGACCCCCTCCATGTATCCAAAACATAACGGGTTTCAAGTCTCCCAAACCCGATGTCCACACGTTTAGTACCAAACAGTCTTCGCTCATCTGATTGGGATGTGGTGTTAATTGTAGACATTTTTTGCCTATTTTTGTGCCGTCGAGTATACCCTTAAAAATTAATTATTGATATATATTTTATGAATTAATGATATTTTGTTAGACTTACAGGCGATGGCTTAGTAATAGGCACGGGTTTAGTGAATCGGAGTTCCCCAACAGGAGGTACCGCATACGGTATGCATACGGTATGAGACCCAGAATCACTGCATAAAATTGATAGACAAACCCTTAATATAGAAGAATAGTAATGGACAAAAGTACATTATCAAATATTCAATTGTAAATATAAAACATTTTATTCACATTTTAGTCAAAGTTATTAAATTTTACAAATAAAAATCTTGCAATATTTTCAGATGAAAAATTAGTTCTTTTATCGGTGTGCATATCATTTAGTGCCGATTTTCTCCCTTTAAGTCACTCATCACTACTCGTTGGCCGTAACTAATCCCTCGTCGACCCTAACACTAGAAGCTCTACGAGTTTTAAAGCCCAAGGAATGGTAACTTTTAAAGCCCAAGGAATGGTAACATGTCATTTGTCGGTTCCAGGGAGTCACGCCATACAAAGCACCAATTGAGAGTAATAAAAATCACCCGATATCAACGGTGTAGCCAAGATACACTGGTTACCCACCAGTGTTACTGAGCGAACCAATTAGGTCAAAGCAACTTTAATTGAACACGAAATTGTGTCAATCAATAACCAACTAATGTGTTATGGAATAAGACTTGCCATCCAAAACATTTTTAATATAAACTTAATTAATGTGAAGCACGATAATTACAACTTAATTACAAAAATCCAAAAACTAACAAAGAACCGAAACCTATGTGAAAACCCAATTTCACAATAACAACCGGAGTTTACACTCTCTTTAATTTGTTACAAACGTGGAGTGATCTTGGACATGACCAATGACAGGTTATCATTTACGTGAGGCGAGTCACTCATTGGTCAACAAATCTAGAGCCCTCAATGTTACGGCCAAAGGTATAAAAAGCACAATCGCTTGCTGTGAACTGGTCTCACTTGGACTACGAGTGCCCTATCGTTGTCAGATAGTGCGCTTCGCTAGTTATAGTCTGTCCGCTTAAAACACACCTGTTAACTGTTAAAGGCATACTTACCAACATATCACTCCACAACTATTCTCATCCTTAACTCTATTAATAATATACTTGTAACTTGTGCTACGAATCAATGGATAATCATGAAATCTAATGGATAAATAGAGTAATTGAAATTTTAACAAAATCTGATTTGTACTGTATAAGTGTGTACTGTAAACTATCATGCTATTAACTGATTATGTCATAAATACATGTTTTTCATTTAAAATTATCTCCAAACATTGAATTTTAAAAATATTTATTTTAACCAAGTATGATTCACTGATTCATACTCATACTGATTAACAAACAGATAATTATAAATTTTAAGTATTTTACAGGATAAATATAAAAATATTATATACTAATCTTAATGTATATGAATAAATATAATTTTTAACTCATTATATATTATTATGGTTTAACACTTGTGTTATTGGCATATTTTAAACCATGAAAAACATATATTTATTATTATTTAAAATAAGTCTTAAGAAAGCATATTAAATATTATTAAATCAAGTAAGATCAACCATTGCAATTTATATGGTTTAACGAGTTATTTTTAGATAGTTATTATCGATAGCACCGGGATTTAGGTCTGTCTCGTAATTTGGCGCACAATAGCTATACTCATCGTACGTCTCATCCCTTTTCAGACCACTATCTCCGGCTCTGCAGTCGTCGTAAGAGTCGAGACTAATCTCTTGGTTAACGATATTTAATCGCTTCTGTCTTACGGCTAGAAATATAACAATTAATATAAGTATTGCTATAATTAAGCCGCAAATGATTGACACAATAGACGTGAGCCTCAGTGTAAGCGTGGGTTCAATTGGTCCGGGAGTTGTGTGACTGTCGCCGTCCGTATGATTAGGCGATTGTATGTACGACATGACAGACTCGCATATATCGGCACTGGATGTGCGGTCACCTACACTGCTAATATGACCCCAGTGGACAGTATGGTTGTCGACCCACTCATAGACGCGGACATAATCAATGATAATCGCTGAGCACTTCCATGACATGTAATCACTCTCCGTGAGTGTCATTCCCGGGAACAGATAAACTGCATCCCCGCCCACACTTAACGATAAGGTCAACTTAAATGCTTTGTCAAACGGCTGTCCTTTTTTGGTATAATCAGTGGTTAACGTCTTATTGATATCAAGATCTCCTGAATATTTATTGTGATCAAAAAACCACTGAATATGTGTTTCATTCCACTCGACGGCATAGGTATGAAAGTTCTGCAGGTTTACGGATACGGCGTTGTATTTAGCGCCGGTGTACGCATTTTGGCCTCCATTATGGCTTAACCCGTAATGGGCACCGGCATGCAGACTAGAGTCCTGGATATTTGCCATAACATCTATCTGGCCATCGAGTGCCCATTTAGTCTGTCCGGCAGCGGGAATCATATTAAAGTCCGGTCTCAACATTTTCCCGTTGGGAAGGGCGGCTCTAATCTCGAACCGGCCATAAGTCCAGCTCTTGGTTGTCGTAATCATCGCTGAACTAAACTTCTTATTATTGGACAAAATGTAAGGATTGGTCTCACGAGCGGCTGTAATGGCTAAACATCCGTGCGTTGACTGTAGATTTTTGGGATGATCCAGGTTACAGTCCAATTCGTGTTGCCAATTGTCTGACATTTGAGTAAGAAATAACATAATAAGTTCCTTATAGTGATAATGTATAATAATTATATTAAAATGAATTGTGCTAACTTAATTAAGACTTTAAAATTAACACTTAAAAAGAAATTTAAATAAAATTGGTATTGCTAAATAAGCATATGTTTCTGACTAATCAGCCCAGTGATGATCCAGGTACTAACCTTTGCAATTGGTTTTAACAAATTCGTTTTCGACATCCCATTTGTCCCGATCTAAGGACTGTCCCTCAAACTCATCCCTCCAAACAACATTTAATTGTTTCTGACAAGTAATCATTGAATACAAGAATATATAGACAGTGATTATATTTATATTAGATAACATTGTTATGTTAATTAATAAAATTTTGATTTTAAAATAATTTATTCTTTACTTTATTTATTACTAGAATTATAATAAAGTATGTCATGTTAACCCAATATGTTAGATATCTATATATGGATATAAAAATTATGCAAAATAATAGATATGAGATTTATAATTGACTTTTTATTCTCGTTACAGGATGTTAATAATTATAAATATAAATATATTAAAACAAATTTTATGTACAGCAATTTTTATTTGTTTACTAAACCTCTTATTATTTTCAGCACATATCAACCCAGATAGAGTAAACATTTACCAGTATAATTACATATGAATATGATTTAAAATTCTAACTTAAAAATTAGCGAGTCATTTCATTATTATTTAATATACAATAAAGTATTAATTTAAACACATTTAAAAATTACATTAGTTAAAATTTATTTAAGAATTCTGTGTTGCCTACACTTAAACATGATAAAGGTGTATTTATATATGATTTGACATTTATAAATTTATTATTTTATTTATGGGTATTTAATTAATTTCGACTTTTTAAATAAAATTTAAAAGATATCTCTTTTATTAAAAGCAACTCTCATAAATGATTTAAATTTTACAATTTTAATATTTATTAGAATTTAAAATTCAAGAATTAAAATTTCAAAAATAATATATTGATAGAATCCCTGTTTATTTTAGGTAGAAATAGAATTTTAAATATTTTAATCACCCAATTAGTAGATTTAAAAAGATTTTATGTAATTAGTATAACAATTCATTTGCAATTTCAATGAATGGCCTCTCAATCAAAATACAGCCAAAAAAGCTAAACGTAAACGTGACCCCAGCTATGGTTATGTACTCCAATATCTGCTTGTTAATATAATAAATACAATTATATACTACAGTATGAACTTCATAGTATGATGTATGAATTGTCAATTAAAGTGTACTTTATCAATTTAAACTAAACTACTTACGGCTTCCCACACTGTTAAGTAAATGGTTTGTTTGATTGTATTAAACAAATAACTGTAAACAAGTGGATGAATGAGATAAGCCTGGTAAGTCAGTTTACTAATGTGTTGCCATCCCGTCCACGACAGTATACGGTTAAGCACCGGAGCTCCACCCGTCCCACACGTGTATATTATATACGCCATACATATAGCCCATAAAACACCGTTAGTCGAGAGATACAAAACGGTCCACCAGTTATCGGTTGTTAAGAATTTGTAATGATAAATAAATCTAATCAATATGATCAGGGTCATTGTTGCCAAACATGATTTCCATAATAGCGAACTTGGTTTCTGAATCAAAAATGCATTTAATATACAATATTTTTAAAAGTCGATAAAATAATTACAATTTTACTGATAGTTCTGTTCCGGTATTTGTGATAATNCAGATGTGTTCAGGTGGGTAAGAGTGAGCATTATTACAGTACTTGTAATCATTTTATTAAAAACTAATCACAAATACCATAACACATGTATGAGTAGGGATTACTAATTGCTTATAATGAAAGGGATTATAAAAATTGTCAAATAATATAACATTAATTAGAATCGACTCTAAAATTGTTTACCTGTAAAAAACATCAATAAATAATGTCTGGACACATCTGATATATAGGTATCTAACATATTTGGTTAACATGACATACTTTATTATAATTCTAGTAATAAATAAAGTAAAGCATAAATTATTTTAAAATCAAAATTTTATGGTTAACTTAACGATGTTATGTAATATAAATATAATCACTGTCTATATATTCTTGTATTCAATGATTACTTGTCAGAAACAATTAAATATTGTTTGGAGGGATGAGTTCGAGGGACAGGCCTTAGATCGGGACAAATGGGATGTCGACAACGAATTTGTTAAAACCAATTGCAAAGGTTAGTACCTGGATCATCACTGGGCTGATTAGTTCAAAACATATGCTCTTTAGCAATACCAATATTGCACAAGGAAATTTATTAATTTTATTTAAACTTTTTAAGTGTTAATTTTAAAGTCTTAATTAAGTTAGCACAATTCATTTTAATATAATTATTATACATTGTCACTATAAGGAACTGATTATGCAATAAATAAATTATTTCTTACTCGAATGTCAGGCAATTGGATGCACCAATTGCACTGTAACCTGGATCATCCCAAAAATCTACAGTCAACGCACGGATGTTTAGCCATTACAGCCGCTCGTGAGACCAATCCTTACATTTTGTCCAATAATAAGAATTTTAGTTCAGCGATGATTACGTCAAAAAAGGGATGGCCTTACGGCCGGATCGAGATTAGGGCCGTCCTTCCCAACGGGAAAATGTTGAGACCGGTCTTTATTATGATTCACGCTGCCGGACAGACCAAATGGGCACTCGATGGCCAGATAGATGTTATGACAAATATCCAGGACTCTAGCCTGTATGCCGGTGCCCATTACGGGTTACTCAAAAATTACAAGTACACCGGCGCTGAATACAACGCCGTATGCGCAAACCTACAGGAATTTCATACCTATGCCGTTGAGTGGAATGAAACACATATTCAATGGTTTTTCGGTGACAACAAACATTCAGAAGATTTTGATATCAATAAGACGTTAACCACTAATTATACCAAAAAAGGACAGCCGTTTGACAAAGCATTTAAGTTGACCCTATCGTTAGGTGTGGGCGGGGATGCCGATTATCTGTTCCCGGGAATGTCACTCACGGAGAGAGATTACATGTCATGGAAGTGTTCGGCGATTATCATCGATTATGTCCGCGTCTATGAGTGGGTCGACAACCATACTGTCCACTCGGGTCATATTAGCAGTGTAGGTGACCGCACATCCAGTGTCGATATATGCGAGTCTGTCATGTCGTACATACGATCGCCTAATCATACGGACGGCGACAGTCACACAACTCCGGAACCAATTGAACCCACGTTTACACTGACGCTCACGTCTATTGTGTCAATCGTGAAACCAAGTAAATTGCACTGGTTGATCTTATTTGCTTTAATACTATTTAATATGCTTTCTTAAGACTTAGTTTAAATAACAATAAATATATCTGAGCGAATATAGCCAAAAGTGTAACAGAAAAAATGCTTTAATTTGAAAGTAAAGTCGTGCAGGTCTCGCAGCTTTCGATTACTCATATATAATGTTCATATTTTAAACAAATTAATTTATAACCCTTGTGTATAAACTAATGTATTTATCAGTGAAAATATTAATGAAAATGTGGACATTATATATGAGTAATCGAAAGCTGCGAGACCTGCACGACTTTACTTTCAAATTAAAGCATTTTTTCTGTTACACTTTTGGCTATATTCGCTCAGATATGTTTTTCATGTTTTAAGTTATGTCAATAACACAAGTGTTAAACCATAATAATATATAATGAGTTAAAAATTATATTTATTCATATACTGTACATTAAGATTAGTATATTTTTACATTTATCATTTGATTAAAATACTTAAAATTTATAATTATCTTATGTTTGTCAATCAGTATGATTATGAATCAATGAATCATACTTGGTTAAAATAAATATTTTTTAAATTCAATGTCTGGAGATAATTATAAATGAAAAACATGAATTTATGACATAATCAGTTAATCGCATGACATTTTACAGTACACACTTATACAAATCAGATTTTGTCAAAATTTCATTTTACTCTATTTATCCACAAGATTTCATATAATTTTTAAAAATATTTTCCAATTTAAAACAATAAATATAATTCATAATTTTCTTGAAATTCAAATGAGATAATTTTGTTTGAATTGATAAGCTATATAAATAAATCGTTTATTAAATTATGTCAATATTATCTCCGCACTTTTCAAAATATAAAGTTTTTAAATATATGAATTACTTGTATCATATCAAATATAAATTATCATTTTAAATTATAAACTCGCTGATTTGTTTACATATTTGGTTAACATGACATACTTTATTATAATTCTAGTAATAAATAAAGTAAAGCATAAATTATTTTAAAATCAAAATTTTATGATTAACTTAACAATGTTATCAAATATAATCACTGTCTATATATTCTTGTATTCAATGATTACTTGTCAGAAACAATTAAATATTGTTTGGAGGGATGAGTTTGAGAGACAGTCCTTAGATCGGGACAAATGGGATGTCGACAACGAATTTGTTAAAGCCAATTGCAAAGGTTAGTACCTGGATCATCACTGGACTGATTAGTCCGAAACATATGCTAATTTAGCAATACCAATATTGCATAAGGAAATTTATTAATTTTATTTAAACTTTTTAAGTGTTAATTTTAAAGTCTTAATTAAGTTAGCACAGTTCATTTTAATATAATTATTATACATTGTCACTATAAGGAACTGATTATGCAATAAATAAATTATTTCTTACTCGAATGTCAGGCAATTGGATGCACCAATTGCACTGTAACCTGGATCATCCTAAAAATCTACAGTCAACGCACGGATGTTTAGCCATTACAGCCGCTCGTGAGACCAATCCTTACATTTTGTCCAATAATAAAAATTTTAGTTCAGCGATGATTACGTCAAAAAAGGGATGGTCTTACGGCCGGTTCGAGATTAGGGCCGTCCTTCCAAACGGGAAAATGTTGAGACCGGCCTTTATTATGATTCCCACTGCCGAACAGACTAATTGGCCACTCGATGGCCAGATAGATGTTATGACAAATATCCAGGGCTCTAGCCTGTATGCCGGTGCCCATTACGGGTTAAGCCAAAATTACGGGTACATCGGCGCTGAATATAACGCCATATCCGCAAACCTACAGGACTTTCATACCTATGCCGTCGAGTGGAATGAAACACATATTCAATGGTTTTTCGATGACAACAAATATTCTGAAGATTTTGATATCAATAAGATGTTAACCACTGATTATACCAAAAATGGACAGCCGTTTGACAAAGCATTTAAGTTTATCTTATCGTTAGGTGTGGGTGGGGATGCCGATTATCTGTTCCCGGGAATGACACTCACGGAGAGTGATTACATGTCATGGAAGTGTTCGGCGATTATCATCGATTATGTCCGCGTCTACGAGTGGGTCGATATCCATACTGTCCACTCGGGTCATATTAGCAGTGTAGGTGACCGCACATCCAGTGCCGATATATGCGAGTCTGTCATGTCGTACATACGATCGCCTAATCATACGGACGGCGACAGTCACACAACTCCCGGACCAATTGAACCCACGTTTACACTGACGCTCACGTCTAGTGTGTCAATCGTGAAACCAAGTAAATTGCACTGGTTGATCTTATTTGCTTTAATACTATTTAATATGCTTTCTTAAGACTTACTTTAGATAACAATAAATATATGTTTTTCATGTTTTAAGTTATGTCAATAACACAAGTGTTAAACCATAATAATATATAATGAGTTAAAAATTATATTTATTCATATACTGTACATTAAGATTAGTATATTTTTATATTTATCATTTGATTAAAATACTTAAATTTTATAATTATTACCTGTAAAAAACATAAATAAATAATGTCTGGACCCATCAGCTGTATATTGATATATCTGTGTTTTTAAATAATTCAGATTTATGGATGAGTTGTGAGTCGAAAGCCTTTTACTAAATTTCTATTCTTTACACGTAAGCTATAGAAAAAAAACTTTCGACTCATAATTCATTCATAATCCTGAATTTATTTTAATTTTAATTAAAACTACAGATATAACTTATACAAAGATAAAGAGTTTATAATTTACTAAAATTTTGTGTGTAACACAAGTTGATCAAAATTAATGTATAAATATACCAGTAGAAACTTTTTTGAAAAGCATTTTCTATTTATTCACTAACATTTTATTATTTTTACTCGGTTAATTTGATTTTTTATAGTAATTTAATAAATTCTTATGACTATTCTATATTTGAAATTTTCAAAAATAAAATTTATATTATAATCAAAATTAGTTAACAATATAAATTAACGGGATATGTCTAGATAGTCATTTCTAGTGGGCGTACAATAACCATATTCATCGTACGGCTGATCCTTATTAAGTCTTTTGTGTCTAACGCATTGGAAAACGACAATAACAATGAGTGTTACTATAATAAAACCACAAGTTATTAATATAAACAATATAAACGACATTGTATGGGTAGGTTCGGTGGTGTTAAGAGATTGTGAACACGTGGAGAATGTGGTCGGACATGTTTGGTCGACCCACTGGTAGACCCGCACGTATTCAATGAAAAGCGTCGGAGACTTCCACTTCCTGTAATCGGCGTCAGTCAGTGTCTCTCCGGGAAACTCATAGCTCTCATTGCCGCCCACACCTAATTCAAACCTCATCTTAAATGGTCGGTCAAACGGCTGTCCTTTTCTCTCATAAACATCGGATAGCTTCCTATTGATATTGAAATCCATTTCACGATTTTTATGATCAAAAAACCATTGAATGTGTGTTTCATTCCACTCGACGGCATAGGTATGAAATTTCTGTAGATTTGCTGATCCCGTGTTGTATACATTTTTTGAACTAAAATTAGCGGGAATGCCATAATGGACACCACCTTCTATTACAGGCTCCTGTTTGTTGGTCATGACATCTATCTGTCCAAAAAATGGCCATCTCCTATGACCGTCCACCGGAACCATAGTAATGACTGGTCTCAACATTTTTCCCTTTGGAAGGGCGGCCCTAACCTCGAACCGGCCGTACGTCCAGCTCTGGGTTGTCGTAACCATAGCTGAGCTGAACTTCTTATTATT